CCAACATGGCTGGCTGGGGAATTCTGGGAGTTGAAGTCCACTCATCTTAAAGTGGCCAAGTTTGGACAACACTGCTGTAGAGGGATGCTATGTTCCATACCATGCACTTTTTGGTGACTGAATCCAAACTGTTGAACAGCCCTAATCCCCCCCCTTCCCCATATGTGCGGGTGCACAGACACACACACACATCACTTTTCCAGGCTTGCAACTTCCATAGCAGTGATGTTCTGTTTTCATGTTTTTATTGGATAGTTTTATTGGAAGGAAACTCATAATATCTAGTGTTAATTTGGGCCAGTCATTTTTACAGAACAGCAATTTTTCCCCCAGCTCCCTACTGCCGCCCCTTTTTAAAGAAACTGTGTAATTTATTCCAAGGTATCTCAGAGTATCTGTTGACAAGAATTGACAGCTGTAATGATTTAGAGAACTGAAATAATGGAACTGGAGGCTGCGGTTTTCAGCTGATTTGGAGAAAGTTAAATGTAGAAGAACTGCTGCTTGTTTTCATTTATTCACTCTAAACCTGTTTAGATTCCCAAGAGAGAAATTTGGTTAAATGTAATGCAAACCTTCTAACATCCATTTAAGAATGTAAATCGAAATGATGTATGCTTGCACATGAGTGTGTCCACTACTAAATCTTCTATTAATCTTATATTTAAAAAAAACAGAAAAAAAATAAAGCACTAACAGTTTAAGAAGAGGGGGAAAAAAAACAAACTTCTATATAAAATGGATTTAATTTTCAGTAGCTACTATTTGTGCTTTGTTTATTTTCTTAGGTACTTTAACGTCTAGTTCTAGGGGTTTCAGATACCGAATTGGAGGAATCTTGTAGTTAAGATCATGGGAGGTAAACAAAAAAGCAACTGATTCACATGTCAGGTGAAACCTAACATCACTGAACAATGTCAGGCAAGCTATCAACTCTCAGTTCTTGTCAGCCATCTCTGGTATACCAGACAGGAAACACAACTAGATGAGCTGATTCTACTTTATTGTAAGGCTACTTTAATAGAATCTTGCAAGTCTGAAAGTACAAATCTTCACCCTCCCTGTTTACCACTTGAATAGTTAGAGTGGATCCTTCCTAAATTTCTTTCTCTGGCTGTTATTCTGTTGCAGACTTTTTTCTCTTTTATCTGATCATTCCCTAGGTGGCATCTCTTCCCCCCATCTTCCAAGGTCACCAAAGCCACCCTCACATTCCATCACAGTCCTCTTTCACTTCTACACAATGGTGTTATACTTGTTTATTATGCATGGATACTTTAAAAAGGAAGGATCTAGCCTACCAAATGGTTTCCAGCATTGTGCTGCCTGACACACAATTTGTGATACTTCATGGATCACAATAGTGATCAGAAAACTAACTGTGACAACCTCTCAAAAAGGTGCCAATAATTGTTGACCATTGCTGCATGTGATCAACCAAATAAATGCTACAATAGAAGAGAATGTATGTAGCTCAGGGTTGAACTGTGGAGTCCTTGGTGCTCTCTGAGCTTGGTTGTTTGTTTGCAGATGTTTCATTACCTGACTATGTAACATCATTAATGCTAGTGAGTGTGGTGTTTGTTCCTTGTTTATATACAGTAGCTTGCCTTGCCAGTGTTGGTGGGAGTGTGGCTTTCTCCTTGGTAGTTCCTTGATTTCTGCTTGATTGTCGTTTGGTGTTAATCCCTGCTTATCTGGGTGTTGGCTGCCAGATAGGTTCTAAATAGGTTCTGGTCTTTTTGTTTCCTTCTTAGCTTTTCTATTGTCTCTTTTGAATGGTATGTAAAAGTGGTTTACCTCTATGTGTCTACTGATGGCCAAAAGCCACACTCCCACCAACACAGGCAAGGAAAGCTACTGTATATAAACAGGGAGCAAATCCCACACTTACTAGCATTGATGATGTTACCTAGTTGGGTAATGAAACATCTGCAAGCAAGCTACCAAGCTCAGAGAGCGCCAAGGACTCCACAAATAAATGTTAGGTGAGTGCAGACTGCAAGAGACCTGTCTCAACAAGATCTTTTGAAAGCATGCCATAGTGCCTCAAAAAGAAGTTGATGTGGAATCATGGTAGCTAGAACATATCAATGAAAATTAAATGAAACATAGGTCAAATTTTGTTGTTGTTGTTCAGTCGTTAAGTCGTGTCTGACCCTTCGTGACCCCGTGAACCATATCGCGCCAGGCCTTACTGTCCTTCACTGCCTCCCTGAGTTTGCTCAGTCTCATGCTCATTGCTTCAGTGATGCTAT